TGAGACTGAGAAGGCCACAAAGACAAAGTTCATCTCCCTTGCATCAATGTATTCAGATAAATGAATGCTTCAGAAGCTTCTGCAGAAAGTTTTATGATAGCAGCTTCAAATCAATACCCTAGGACCTCAGCCCCTAAGCTTCTACTCAGCCTCTTTCATGGGGAAATCTTGAATTCTAGACCCCAGAACTCTCCTCCACAGTCGAGTTTCACTTGAGGAGGGACCATTTCTTTGGGGTTCCTCTAATCACAAATAGACCTGAGAAAAAGGATACAGCCACAAATGTTTTGTGCATCATAATTTGTAGATGAAGTTCAAGTCCAAGATTATGAAGCACTAATCAATTCAACAAATTGATTATTAGAAGGGGGCAGCAGAGGCTAGAAACTGAGAGAAGCTTACAGTCTGATTGAGCCCAAATCCTGAACCTTTGCACAGCCTATGCACCTCCCTCCACCATTCTTCAAGGGTGACTTTCAAGGGTGAGGGTCACACTGGCTACTAAACTCCCCAACCTGTACTCTGACTCCAAAGGACACAGTTGCAAAACACAGAAAGAATGATTTCAGTGAAACTCCCAGACTTCAAACTATACTACAAAGCCATAATCATCAAAACTGCATGGTATTGGACCAAGAACAGACACACAGACCAATGGAATCAAAAAGAAAATCCAGAAATAAACCCACAGATTTATGGTCAACTAATCTTTGACAAAGTAACAAAGAATATGCACTAGAGCAAAGAAAGTTTGTTCAATAAATGGTCCTAGGAAAACTGGGTCTCTACATGTAAAAGAATGAAGCTTGACTACTACCTCACACCATGCACAAAAACCAACTCAAAATGGATTAAAGAACTAGACGTAAGACCTGAAACCATAAAATATATAGAAGGAAATATAGGCAAAACACTACATGACATGCACCTCAAAGACATCTTTACAGACACATCACCGAAGCAGTGATAGTGAAGGCAAAGATAAACAGCTGGGACTACATCAAATTAAAGAGCTTCTGCTCAGCAAAAGAGACAATAACCAAAACAAAGAGAAACCCCACCGACTGGGAGAACATTTTTGCACACAACACTAATGATAAAGGACTGATCACAAAAATCAACAAAGAGCTGATGAGACTCAACAAAAAACAAAGAAAATAATCCAGTCAAAAAATGGGCAGAAGAGCTAAAAAGAAACTTCTCTGAAGAGGAAATGCAAATGGCCAACAGGCATATGAAAAAATGTTCAACATCACTTGTAATCAGGGAAATGCAAAAATCAAAACTACCATGAGATACCATCTGACACCAGTGAGAATGGCACATATTAAAAAAACTAGCAACAACAAATGTTGGCGAGGATGTGGAGAAAAAGGAACTCTCCTGCACTGCTGGTGGGAGTGCAAACTGGTCCAACCACTATGGAGAGCTGTGTGGAGATTCCTCAACCTACTAAAGATAGAGCTTCCATATGATCCAGCAATTCCACTCCTAGGGATTTACCCAAAGGACACAGAAACAGTAATTCCAAAGGGCACCTGCCCCTCTCTGTTTATAGCAGCAATATTTACAATAGCTAAGCTATGGAAACAACCCAAATGCTCAAAAATAGATGACTGGATCAAGAAGATGTGGTACATGTACACAATAGAATATTTTTCAGCAATCAAAAAAGATAAACTCATGCAGTTTGCAGCAACATGGATTGAGCTAGAAGGGATCATGCTCAGTGAAATAAGTCAGAAAGAAAAGAAAAATACCGGACACACACTCATAGCAGGAATTTAGGAAACCTAAATAAGGGACCAGGAAAAAGACTAATCAATACAAAGTAATAAATCAAAATCAACAAGATTGGGGAATTTTGTAAACTAGTTCACACCAGATTGAAGTGAGCTAAGGCAGGGGTAGTTAGAGCATGGAGCTGGGCAGATACAAGCCAGGTCCCCCATCCACTGGCCCATCAGTGGGGCATGAGCAACAGAAGCAGAAGAAAGGGGAGGAGTTGCGGGCGGGGGGAGGGCCCAGTCTGATGGTCTGGGCTCAGGGCTCAGCATGCGTCGCAGCCTCGAGCTCTCCTGGGGACTGTGGCCGCCATCCTAGATGTACCTCAGCTGGCGCCTCCACCAAGGGGGCCGCTGGGCATGCTCCAGAAGAAAGCGGGGGCCTGAGGATGTGAGAACAGGAGCCTAGCAGCCTTGCTCTGTACTGTGCAAGCACAGGGTCCAGCCTGTGACCTGGCACGTCGTGGCCTCGTAGGTGACCGTCATGTGGTGTGCCGGACAAACTCTACAGTAGGGAGAGACACCCTCCCCGGTCCCTGTCCCCACCCCCCCACTCCATTTAGAGGAGTATCCCTGCCGGGCTTGGTCCCTGGGTCAGGAGTACAACCTGCCTGGGCCTTCAAGCCCTCCCTGTGGAGCAATGGTGATGTGAAGTCCCTTCAGCTGTGGCAAAAATCTCAGTGTTTTAGGATCCACACTCTATGCACTTCATTCAGGCTCCTCTTCACAAACAGACCCTCTCCTTAGGCAGCCACAGCGACGCTCAAGGGCTACCCCAGGTCGGCCCTCCCCTGAGCTCCAGTCCTCATGTCTTATGCCCGCCCAGCATTTCCCCTTAGACTTACATTGGCACTTCAGATGCCGCATGGCCCACACTAGCTTGGCATCCACGCCCACCCCTGCCACCCAAAACTGGGCATCCTCCTGCATCCATCCTCTGGGTCCGGTCCTGTCCATTCCACCTCCCAGAGCCCTGGGTCTGGCACCTCTTCTCCAGCCCAGCAGAGGAGAAGCTCCTGCTGCTTGTGTTCTCCCCAGCCTTCCCTCAGAAGCCCTATTCTACACAGCACCCACAGGGGTATTTCCAAAGTGCAGGGCTGTGTGGATCCCCCAAGTCACACTGGCCAGGGGTCCCCACTGGCTGCCCCCGTCTTGCTGTTTGTGCCCTGTGGAGAGCTGGCACTCTGCACAGCTGGCGAGAAGCCACTGACAGTATGTGAGGTGTGTGGTGAGGGGGTTGTTTCCAAAGACCAGGCCGGCTCTGGCAGCCGGCATGATGCAGGGAGAACCAGATCAGGCGTGAGAGCTGCCCTGCCGTCTGGTGGGGCCATCGGCACAGCTGGATCAGAATCTTCCAGAGGCTCATTCTGCTCCCAGGGAATAAGGTCTCAGGCTCTGGAGCCCTGCAGCACCCAGGGCAGACTGGTCCTACCCCCACCCCACCTGCCTTGCCTTGCCCCACCCCACCTGCCTCCTCTGCGGGGCTGCAGAAGAGGTGCCAGACCCAGAGCCTGCTGAGCGTGTGGTTTGAAGAGCCACCTCCCATCCGCCTGCGGCGGTCCTAGTCGGCCTTGGTTTCTCCTTCTTCTGCCTTTGCCCTGACGGCGCGAGCGGAGGGGGGGGGGAGCCCGCGGGGAGTGGGATGCCCTTCCCAGAACGTCACCGGGAGGGTGAGCCCTGGCCTTCTGGGAGAGCACGTCCCTCCACGCACAGCACAGGCAGCCGTCTCAGGGGATTTCCAGGTCAGGGGGGCCCCCCTCGGCTTTGCCTGCAGGCTCAGGCTGGAGGAAGGACCAGGGAGTGGGACGCGCATGTATGTGGCACGGAGGACAGGCGCGGGGGATCACGGGTCGGCTGCCCTTTGGCCTAGCCCACCACCCGCCCATCACCCCGTTGGGGGACCACCGCCCTGCCCTCCAGGGCTGCTCCACCTTCCCGGCTGTGCCCGCCACTGGCAGCGCTCCTTTTCCCAGCGAAGCCACAGGGTGTCCTCAGCCCATGAGCCCAGCTCGAGGGATCACGCGGAAAGGCATCCTTCTGCCAGGGCTTGGCTGGAAGGGGGCCCCGGGAGGCCTCAGAGGCCAGCTCCTCCCACCCAGCACTGAGTCACGCACTTGTACCCAGCACGTTCTAGAAAGGACTCAGAGGCCAACACTGACCAGACCCTGACAAGCATGTGACGGGCCTCGACCGTGACTCAGCCGCTGGGACCTCAGTTACCTCATCTACGAAATGGCAACATGCTGAGAGCAGAGGCTGGAGCAGAACTCGAGGGCTCCCTGCCTCGCCCCATGCAGCTGGGGTGCAGCTCTGACTGCTCCCACACAGCCCCTCCACCTTTACCCCTGTCACCACTGGGGGGGGGCGGTGAGCCTCACCCAGGACCCGAGGCAGGGGCAGGAGGCCGGCTGGGGCTTCGCCTGCAGCTGTCAGTGGCCTCGGGAGGGTCCCCCTCCTCTTGGAGCCCAGGTTTCTGGTAATGAAAAATTGCTTGTTCCCACCTTGGGGGGGGGGGGGGGTGTCAGGACCCTTACCCGCCCCTGTGCCCCAGGCGCCAGAGGAGAGAGAAGGGGTACCCCACCTTTTCTTTTTTAGGTATCATGGTACTTTCGGGCGTGGGGAGCAAAGGCCCAGCACCCGCCATGCCGGAGCCCGCAAAGCAGTGGCCCTGCCGGCGCCCACAGCCCTGTCCTCACCAGCAGCCGCGGAGCCGCGGGGAGCCGCCCGGGGGGGGGGGGGGGTTTCGGGGTCCCCTTCCCAGCTTGTTTCCGCAGCTGTAGCCAGCCGGCCGCTGCCCCCCTCCTGCAGTCCGGCGGGGGTTGGGTGTGTGGGCTGCTGCTTTGCCCCTCATTTCCAGACAGTCTGTATCTACAAGCGTTGGGGCACAGCGGGTGGACCGCGCCCTGTTCTGCCCGCGCCCACAGTGACCTCGGGGTCGGGAGAACCCGCTGTTCTCTCAGCGACCCTCAAACACGCCCAGACATCTGCGGCTCAGCCCCCCCCCCGCCCCCCAGCCCCCGCCCCTTCCCCCAGCAGCTGGCGCCCTGCGAGCCCCTCGGCCCTAACGGCAGGAGCTGCTCCCGGGGTGCCGGGACCCTGGGGGCCTGGGCGGCGGGGGGCCCCGGGGGTCCCCACAAGCAGCTCCGCTCCGGCGGGCGCGGGCAGGGGTCGGTCCCAAGCCCGCCCCGGGGGCCTCGGGGTGCCGGGGGCTGTTACCTTCCCGTCATGCTGCTGCGCTGCCCGGGTCCCCGAGTCCTCGGCCCACAGGTCCCGGGCGCAGCCGGAGACGCCCAAAAAAGGCCAGAAGCGGCTCCACCCGCGCCCGGCCCAGCCCGCCGCGGAGGGGGGTAGGGGCTGCCCTCGGCCTTGGGGTGCAGCAGGGCCGGGTCCCGCATGGGGGCCGGGGCGCAGGGTTGAGACTGGACAGCTCGGGGACCCCCTTGGCCTGCCGGCGCGGGGCGCGTCCCCGCCGGCGCTGCCACCTCCCCGGATTCCGGGCATAGTTTTCCTTTTAAAGGGAATGAAGTCGTTGTCCGCGCAAACGACCCCCTGGCCCGCGGGGCGCCGCCCCAGCCCCCCCTCCCTGCCCCGCGCCCTGGAGGCCGCCCTGAAGGGGCGCGGCCCGCGGGGCTCACAGGGAGCCCCGCCCGCACCCGGATTGCCCCCGTGGCGCCAGCAGCGGAGGCACCTGACGCTTCCCTCCCCAGACTGGAGTTTCTGGGTGCCCACCCTTCCTGGGGCACAGGGCCCCCCACGGTAGGCAGGGAGGCGAGGTGGAGGCTCCCCCGATTCTGGGCCGGGCTCTGGGGTGCAGAGGCCGGGCTCCCAGCCCTTCACCACCGCAGAGCAAGCCAGCGTGGGCTCTGGAGGGACAGCCAGGGCCCTGCTCTGGGGGAGCTGCTGATGCCTCGGGGCCCACAGAGGCCCGATGACGCAGAACCCCTCAGGGACCCTCTTCTGAGGAGAGCAGCAACAGCAAGCACAGTCCCTCCACCTACAGGCAGATGTTTCTAGGGGCAGGGGGTGGCTGTCACTGTGAGGCCAGGGGAAAACAGGGGTGCCGTCCACCCGCTGCACCCCCGATTCTTGTAGATACAGACTATCCGGAAATGAGGGGGCAAAGTAACAGCCCGCAAACAAAACAAGCAGGGACTGCAGAAAGGTGGGTGGACAGCCGCAGGCTGGTTGCAGCTGCAGAAACAACCCCAAACCCCCGGCTGGCAGCTGCCAGGTCGGCTCAGCGCTGCTCAGCCGGCTCCGTGTGGCTGCGCTCGGGAAGCACAGATGCGCTCTCGGTTCAGCTGCCTTTTTAGGGAGAAATACTTCGCACAATCGCCTGCGCAGAAGAGTGGACGTCCTGGGCGCTGGGAGCAGAGCACCGGAAACTGTCGGATGCTTCGTTAAATATTGTGGGCCAAAGTGGATGAGAAGTAGAAGGCAGAACAGCAAAGGAAATTGCTCCCCCCTCAAAAACACCTCAGTCCTGCCTGAAAGCCTCCCTTTGTGTGGGTGTAGGCACACAAGGTTCTGTCTGGAACCAAACAGCAGCCCTCTCTCGCACCCCACCCACCCAGCCGTCTCCGGCAGGGTTGGGAAAGCTGGCAAGAGCCCGGTGGTGACCCCAGGGTGTCACGGCCGCCTCCAAGGAGCGGCAGAGGTTGGAGGCGGACTTGCAGAGAAGAGCAGAAGAGGGTTGGTCCACACTTTCCCTCGCTGGTCACCCCTTTGCTTGGGAGGTTTGTGCCACGGAGGAGACTGAGCAAGGACAGACGTAGCGCTGCCGCCGCTGTGGACAACACCCTGAGCATTATCCTGACTGCGAGAAACTTCCCCCAGAAGAGTCCCTGCTGTCAAGTTCTAGAACCACAGGCCCTGGGGAGCACACTCAGGAACGCTGGCCACCCCAGGATGAGGGCCGGGCAGAATTTGGCCAGAAAACAGCCACGAGAGAACTTTCGGCAGCTTGTTCATTATCTTCATGGGAGTTTGCAGCCCACAGGTATATGCATGTGTCAAAACTGCTGGAACATACAGCTGAGATTTGTGTCTTTCACAGTCTGTGACTTTCACTGCAAAAGAAGACTACACCCAGAGTGCACAGTGGTCAGAGGTGTGCACACTGAGGAATTTAGGTAGAATACGGATGCCGTGGCTGACTTTGAAATGCATTTTAAAAATCAAGATGAGGGGCCTCCCCCGGTGGCGCAGCGTTTGAGCGCTGGGCTACAAAGCTGCCCGCAGCCTCTGCAGCACCAGTTCGATCCCTGGCCGCTGGTGAGGGTCCCACATGGCGCCACAGACCTCTCCTGCCACGCCCGCTGCTCCCTTCAGCAGTGTATTTCGTTGGTCTGCCTGTTCTGTTCCCCGCTCTGGCTCTGGTGAATTCTGTCACCCTCCTACACTTCTGACTGTACCCAGTGCTTGTATAAATAAATAAATAAATCTTTAAAAAAAAAAAAAATAAAAAAATAAAAATCAAGATGAATTGATGGGAAGGGTGGAGAGATGAACAAATAGGTTAAATGGGCATGGCACAGGATTAGGCGGAGAATCGAGGTGATGGGCATCAGAGTGTTCAGCATGAAACTGTCCACGCACTGCCCGGGTTTGCTCTGTGTCCCGGCCCTTGGCCTATGGTGGGACAGTGGGGCAGATCCAGGGGGGCTGTCACAGCTCAGCAGTCCTTGCACCTCCCCATGGGAGACGGCCAGCAGGCACCGCAAACCCAGAGCTCAGAGGAGCCAGGTCTCTGGCTACAGGTTGGGTCTGGACAGATGGTCTACCCTGGGCCCAGAGGGTCACAGAGGTGTCTATGCCCGTCCAGGGGTCCTGCCGAGATGGTGGTCAGGGGGAGCAGCAAGGCCAGGGGTGAGGCGTTGGAGAAGCCAGAGGGCACGATTGCTCCCCTGTGCAGGCTACTTTGAGCAAAAGGACAGGGAGGGGTGTGGGCTTGGTGTCCAGAACAGGCCTGTGGGAGTGAGGGAGCCTGAGGCCAGCAGAAGGAAACCTGGCAGTCCCCTGTCAGAATCACCCCTCACTGTGGTCCTGCAGAAGACAGGCATGTCACCCTGGAGTAGGGCACACAGCACCCCAGAAGGACAAGGGAGGGGATAGAGAATGGAGGCAGAGAAGGTCAAGTCCTGCTGGAGGGAGCAGAGAAGTGGGCAGTAGCTCAAGGAGAGAAGATGAGAAGGTGGGGTGCCTGGGCTGCTATTCAGGGGGGTTGCTGGGGGTACTGGAGACCTAATGTGGTGACCCACACCAGAAAGGAAGGGGCTCGGTGATGCCAGGGGTCGTGACTGGGCCACATACTGTGAACCAGGTTTCCATGGGGCGACGTGAGTGCTGTCCTATGTCAGGGAATGGGCAATTTGGGGTCTCCCTGCACAGACCCCAGTACCATCTGGAGCTCAGGGCTGCTGTAGCACTGCCTCACAGGGCTTTCCCTCGATGTCCCACAGCACTCTGTAGCTCCCCACTCCAGCTGACAGCTGGGGTCCAGGGAGCCTTGGGCAGGCAGGGGTGGGGAGTCACAGGATTAAAGGGGGAGCCTGGGTTTCCACTGACAACAGCCTAATCAGCAGCCCGAGGACAGCAGACTCCAGGGTGTCAGGGGGTCTTGAGAGGCCTCCTTCAATAGCTGGAACTGAAGCCCTGCCCCCCACCCTCACGCTCCCCACTACCTAAAGTGGGCACAGAAAAGGCCTTGAGGCGCTAAGGGCCCCCCACTACCACTGCACTGAGGCTGCCTTCCCAGCAGGCAGGCGGGGTGTGGTGCAGTTTACTGGCCGCAATGTGAGGGCACCCCCCACTGCTCTGCCCAGAGGGCCTCCCCCCAACCCCCACCCCTCACCCCACTTCAGGCATTTCCCTCTCAGAGTGGCTGAGAGAAGCAATACACTGAGCTGCGGCTGCAGAGCGAGGGGGGCCTGGAGAGCCGCCCCCCGCATCCGCTCCCCACTCGGCGCCTCGAGCAGCCTCTGCCGTCGCGCGCGGTCGCGCCCCACGAGCGGCCTTTCTCCTCTGGCGCCGGGAGCCAGCGCAGGCGGCGGGACGTGCCCGCGATTCCCCCGCAGCGCGGAGCAGAGGGCAGAGCCCCAGAAGCCTTTTTGAGCCGCAGAGGCCGCGGAGCCGCCCGCTTTCCCGGGGAGAGCTGGGCCCGCGCCCCCACGTCCTGCTCCCTTCTCGGGGCGCCCCAGGGCCCGCGGCGCCCGACCCGGGAGGTGCAGCCGGGGCAGCCGCGGCCTCCCGGCTCGTCGACGCCCAGCCGCGCGCCAGCCCTTCGGCCGCGGGGACGCCCCACCGGGGCCCCGGGGAGCCTCCCTGCCGGGGCAGAGACGCACCTCGTCCTCGCCCCCTGACTCAGGGGCGTGCGCCTGCACCCGAGGGCGCTCACGGGGGAACGCGGGGGCGCCCGAAGCCCAGCAGTGTCACCCCGACCTCAGGGGCGTAAGGCGCGTGGCGGGGAGCGCCGGGGACAGGCCCCCGCAGCTGGGAGCGCAAGACCCCCTCAGAGGCGCTCGGCGTCCCCCCCACCCCCCACCCCCGAACCCCACCCCCACCGCACCCCCACCACCCACCCTTGGCCTCAGCACCCCGCGCCGCTCCCCGCCCCGCGGCAGCTGCTCCAGGAGACTCCTCCGTGTGCCCGAGGGGTGTCCCCCGTCTCTCCGGTGGGCGCGGCCACGTGCAGCCGTCGGGCCCCTCGGGCAGCAGCCGGGCAGGCCCGCCCCTCCCTGGCCGGGCTGGGCCGGGGGCGCCCCGGGGTCCGCCGCAGGACGGCGCAGGGAGGCGTGGCGGGCCCGGGGACAGCCCGGCCGCCGCCAGCCGCGCTCCTAGGAACGCCCGGGTCTCGCGGGGCCGTCCCCGCCGCCCAGGCCCGGCCTCCCCGCGGGGAGAGTGTCAGGACCGTCCACACTTCACGACCCTCCACTCGTTATTTACCGCCCTGGGCCGTGAACGCGCCGCTGCTCGGGAAACGCCCAGAAGCAGGAGAATTTCCTCGGCTCTCACCCCCCCGCCACCCCGGGGCGGCACCTGCGGCTCTCCCGCGCCAGCCTGGGCGTCGCCGCCGGGGCGCCGCGCTCCTGCCCGGACGGCCCTGGACAGCCCGGGCGGGGCAGCCCCCCAGGCTCAGACCCGCCCGGGAGGGCCCGCCCCGACGTGCGCTGTGGCCAGGGTCCCCCCGCTCGAGGGGTCCCGCCCGCCCCGCTCGAGGGTCCGCTGCTCTCTGCTCCTCACTCGGGTTTACACTCTGGGGGGGCGGG